CTGCGGGCTCAAGCAATCCACTCACCTCAGCCTCCCAAAGGCGCGGGATTACAGGCTGAGCCACTGAGCCCGGCTGGGCTCGGGCTCTTAATTGAGAGGGGTATGGGAGCTCTGGGGATCCTTAAACTCCCTTGAGCATTTGCAGAGTGTGCAGGTACATACCTACTTTATAGGAGGGGCAGCACCTTTGATTCTCATTGGGGCCCTAACTCTAAGAAGCACTATCCCAGCACCCCCTTATGACAGATGAGGAAACAGGTCTGGAGAGGGGAAAGACTTGCTCAGAATCACTTGGTAGTGGTCCAGCCTTTCGGCTCCAGGCTCCTGTGTGATGGAACCCCAGGAGCCCTTAGCTCCCTGACCTTCAGGCGTCACTTAGCTCCTGGGGGAGATCAGGAACCCGGGGACCTTGCAGATCTAGCAGAGAGGGGCCCCTCCACTACAGGATCAGACCGAGGGGCTCTTGGGGACCTGGTCACAGCCTCAGGCCCACCAGCAACCAGGCAGAGCCTGGGAGCACTGCGTCCAAGAGTCAGCGCATGTGAGCAGGGGAAGGTGTGGGCCTGGAGCCAGAGATGTGAGTGGTATCCCTGTCCCCATGTTCTCTTCTAAGGAATGGGCAGTAACAGTATCTACCCCACAGACCTGGCATATATCACTCACTCAGCCACTAGGGGTTTGCTGTCTTCCCCTTCCCATCCTGACCTTCAGCTCCCAGGCCCTTCCTCTCTTCAGGGTAATATCACTATAAGCAAACACAGGCAGGAAAGGGGACCAGCAGGGCAAGGGGAAAGGGGACCAGCGGGGCAAGGACAAAGGGCCCCGGGCAGTGCCGAGGCCACCCGGAAGGAACTTCTGCCCAGAAGGAAGCTACCTGAGTTGTTACCAGCTGATATCTGAGCACTCTGAGGCCGAGTAGGCAGCTGGCTGCTGTCACCGAGGGACTGCTGCCTGTGCAGGTGAAGCCGGGGCTGCTTGGGCTTGTGCTTTGAGATCCCTGTGGCTGATGGGAGCAGGAGACAGAAGGGTCAGTTCCTAGACAGTGGGTGAGAACTCTGTGAGGACCTGTAGGTATGGGCGAGGGTGGCAGGGCTGCTGGTCACAGCCTGCCTTAGTGGGGGTGGGATCCTTTGGGGTGAATTTGTGGACATGCTCCTTAGAAGCAGTGCTTCACGCAGTCACAGGCCCACTCCTCTGTCTGCCCACCCACCCACCTTCCACCCATCCATTCGTCTGTCTGACTGTCCACTCCCTCAGTCTCTGAGGACCTACATGCATCTGCCCTGTGCCAGGTGCTAGGGGGGTTCTGGCCTGGGCTTTCCAGTTCAGGAGGGGAGGCAACGAGGAATGTGCATACGCAGTTATGATGCACTACAGGAAGTGATAGCAACCACGCTTCAGATGTGGGGAGTGGGCACGCAGCAGACAGGGACTGCTAAGTGGCAGGGGCTCAGGAGAGGGCGTTGTTCTGAGTTTTGAAGAAGTGGGGTAAGACTTGACCGTGATGGTGCTAGGGACAGAGGTTGAGACAGGAAGCCCAGTGGTGCAGCGTGGGATGCAGGTCAGCAGGCACACACAGGGCCATGCAGTCCCAGCGGGTGGCCTGAGGCTGGACAGCTGTCCTCTGCCTGCCAACGTTTACCTGGTGGCTTTTGGAGAGACCTGAACACTTAGAGTCAGGAAAGTGGAGAAGGATCTGGTGGCCCAAAGAAATGCCTGGACTTCTGAAAGATGAACGTCCCTGTGGAATCCAAACAAGGGACCTGAGGGCATCTGAGCTACCTGGACACTCACTGTCTTTGGCCCGGATGCCTGGCAGCCTTGTATCCATTCGCCCCTTGTAAATATGTCCATCCAGGCCCAAGATGTCCACTTCGTCATGCTGGGGAGGTAGATATATGTTTGTCATCACTGTAGCACACAGAGCCTTCCCTCTTCCTGAATGTATGCAGGCCCAGGGCACAGAGCACTACTGTCTCCTGATTCTTGGTACCAGATGGTGCTCAGAACCCTCCTGGGGGACGCTGGACAGCACCAGAGCAGAGTGACAAGGTAAAGGGAGGTTAAAACGGTATCATTCTGAGGAACCATGGTGGGAGATGGTAGTGCTGGGTGGTAGGTGGCTGGAACAAATTCACCTTCCCAAGAAAGAGTAAGAACCCGAGGCTTTAAAGAAGCTGCCTTGGCCAGGCATGGTGGCTCACACCTATAATCCCAGCACTTTGGGAGGCCGAGGTGAGAGGATTGCCTGAGCCCACGGGTTCAAGACCAGCCTGGGTGACTTGGCAAGGCCTCATCTCTACAATAAATCAAAAAATTAGCCCAGCGTGGTGGTGTGTGCCTGTGATTCCAGCCACTTGAAAGGCTGAGGTGGAAGGATCACTGGAGCCGAGCAGGTCAAGGGTGCGGTGGCTGTGTGAGCGTGCCACTGTATTCCAGCCTGGGCAACTGAGTGAGACTCCAACTCAAAAAAAAATGCTGCCTCAAGGCATAGGATTGGATGATGGTGTTTTCAGAATGACTTGGGAATCTGGGGTCATGTGAGGACCTTCCTCCCTGGTGGCAGAGCCCCTGACCTTCATGGCGATCTGGATCTCCTCAGAGGGACACAGGCCCTGTGGCAGGTGCTGCAGGCGGTTGCGGCGGTAGGGGTAGGTGAGGGTGTGGCTTCCCCCACAGCGCCGGGGCACGGTTGAATAAGTATAATCAGCCATATCTGACACTCTGTGATGAAGACAGCATGGAGTCACAGGGAGTAGGCCACCAGGGACATGACCTGGGACGTGTCTATGGGGAGGCCAGCCAGAAGAAAGTGTGGCAGCTCTCTCAGGGAGTCTTTGGGAGTCAGGGCAGGAACAGGCAGGCGAGTGAGCAGAACTACCTTGAGGCCAGGCCATCCAAAAGACCATACACACACATACACCCCTGACACATACACATAAACTGACACATACACTCTAACACTTACTCCCCTTTCTCTTTTTTTTTGAGTTGGAGTCCCACTCTGTCACCCAGGCTGGAGTGCAGTGGCACAATCATGGCCACTGCATCCTTGGCCTGCAGGGCTCAGGCGATCCTTCTGCCTCAGCCTTCCAAGTAGCTGGGACTACAGGCATGTACCATCACATCTGGCTGATTTTTGCATTTATTGTGGAAACAAGATCTCGTCCTGTTGCCCAGACTGGTCTTGAGCTCCTGGCTTCACTCGGTCCTCTCAACTCAGCTTCTCAAAGTGCTGAGATTACAAGTGCAAGCTACCGCACCTGATCCCCCCTTCTTCCTCAGGGCTTTCCTCAGCAGTGGGGTGAGGCCTTTGTTCACATGGCCATGGGTGGGCAGAAGCCAAGCCCAGACACCAGAGGCCCACATCCCCACAAACCCTGGCCCATTTGCACCTCCCTACCGTTTGTAGCAGGGGGAACTGAGGCACTGGGCCTGTAGTAGCTCGCGGATCATCTGGCTGCTGGCCTTGACAGAGCCTCCAAAGTGCATCTGCACCTTCTCGATGTCCATCAGCATCTTGGAGTGCATGGAGTGCAGGCGCCCCACACTCCGCTCCATCTGCCCCAGGTCACCCCGAGGGAAGGCACCGCCCAGCCTGAGGCTGTGGGAAACAGGCAGAAAGGAGAGAAGGTCAGCCCAGGGTCAGCGAGAACTCTGGAGGCACTCCATGCCTTGACCTTGTGCAAGCCTCTTAAGCTCTAGGCTCCTCACCTGCCTTCCTCCCTGCCCTTTTTTTTGAATTGGAGCCTCACTCAGTCACCCAGGCTGGAGTGCAGTGGCATGATCACAGGCACCCCAGTGTTGACCTGCTGGGCTCAGGCGATCCTTCTGCCTCAGCCTTCCAAGTAACTGGAACTACAAGCACATGCTACCATGCTAATTAATTATTTATGTATTTATTGTAGAGATGAGGTCTCACCAAGTTGCCCAGGCTGGTTTCGAACCCCTGGGCTCAGGCAGTCCTCTTGCTTTGGCCTCCCAAAGTGCTGGGATTACAGGCTTGAGCCACTGCGCCTGGCCTGCCTTCCTCTTTTTTTTGGAGATAGAGTCTTGCTCTGTCTCCCAGGCTATAGTGCAGTGGCATGATCATAGCTCACTGCAGCCTCCAACTCCCAGGCTCAAGCAAGCCTCCCACCTCAGCTTCCCGCATAGTAGAGACTACAGATGCACACTACCATTGGCTCATTAAAAAAATTTTTTTTAGCCGGGCTCGGTGGCTCAGCCTGTAATCCCGTGCCTTGGGAGGCTGAGGTGAGTGGAATGTCTGAGCCCGCGGGTTCGAGACCCGCCCGGGCAACTT